CAGCAGCAGCAGCAGCAGCAGCAGCAGCAGCAGCAGCAGCAGCAGCAGCAGCAGCAGCAGCGGGAGCAGCGGGAGCAGCGGGAGCAGGGAAGGGGGCTGGAGGGTGGGAAAACCCTTTTTTAGGGTTTGGGAGAGGGTCTCACGCAAAGGCGCGTCTGCACTCTGCGACTTTTGCTGCATGCGTTTGCTGCTGCTGCTCTTTGCTGCGCAGCAGCTGCTGCAGCCGCGCCCTCAAGCTGCTGCGCTGCTGCTCGAGCTGCGTGGCCTGCAGCAGGGCCTCTTCGTAGCTTTCGCGGGTGACGCGGAGCTGGGGCTCTTCGCTGCTGCTGCTGCTGCTGCTGCTGCTGCTGCTGCTGCTGCTGCTGGCCAGCTGGCTGCTGCTGCGCCGCAGCTCCGGCAGCGCCTGAGCCCCCAGCAGCACCACCAGTCTGTTAACAACTTTTCCATTTGCTTCTTCTGCTGCTTCCAAAAGCTTTTCTGCTGCTGCCAACTCCCCGTCCAAAGACACGCCCAGCGCGCTTTGCTGCTGCAGCTCAGCTGCCAGAGCCTTCGCTCCGCTGCTCCCCGCCTCCTCCCGCTGCAGCAGCAGCAGCAGCAGCAGCAGCAGCAGCAGCAGCGGCAGCAGCAGCAGCAGCAGCAGCAGCAGCAGCAGCAGCAGCAGCAGCGGCTTGCTGCTGATGTCAGGTGTTAGTCGCTGAGTTGGGCTGGAGGGAAGCAGCAAAACTCAGTGCGGGAAGCAGCGGCAGAAAGTGGAAAGTTGAAATAAATGGAGAAAATGGAATTAAAAAGATAAATAAACATTTAAAAGACATTTAAAATGCAAAGAAATACTTCTGAAAGATATTTTTGTTCAAGTTCGAGCGCGGTTTTCAAGTTGCAGGCGCGGGGTGTACGTACAGCTGAAGAGCCTGCAGAGCTGCTCGGCGAGTCATGAAGAACTTCAGTTGTTGTGTGTCTTCTTTTCATTTCGCATTTGCTGCTTCTGGAACGATTTGCTGCTGCTGCTGCTGCTGCTGCTGCGTCTGCTGCTGCTGCTGCTGCCTGCGGTTCCTGCGTGCGCAGGTGCTGCTGCTCGTCGGCTTCAAACAGCACCTGCTGCTGCTGCTGCTGCTGCTGCTGCAGTGGGGTCAGCTGCTGCTGCTCGTGGCTTCTTGCTTGCTGCGCTGCTGCATCTATTTCGCTTTTGTCTCTTTCCGCCGATTCACCTCTTTCGGACTCTCTGCTTGCTGTTTCTGGGTTGCTGTCTGCAGCAGCAGCAGCAGCAGCAGCAGCAGCAGCAGCAGCAGCAGTTTCGTTTTGCGCCGCAGCGGCGGCTCCTTGCTCAGGTGTATGTACACCTCGGGCTCCTTCGGGTGTCTCTGCTGCTGCTGCTCCGTCGCCTTTTTCTTCTTCACTTTTATTAAATTCTTCTTTTGCTGCTTCTTTTTCTTCGCTGTCTTTTGCTGCTGCTGCTGCTTCTTGCTGCAGCTCTTTAGCTGCTGCTTCCGCCTCGCCTTGTTCTGCAAAAGGAAATTCAATTTTTAATTTAATTTTAAAATGCAAAAATAAAATTAAATTTAAAAATGAAATTATAATTCTCATTTTGCTGCCAAGAGCAACTTTGCAGAAGTTTGCTGCTGCTTATTTGGGCAGCTCAAATTCTTTTTTCTTTTTTCTTTTTTGCAAAATAAAAAACATTTGGGAAAGTTCTGCTGCTGCATGCAACTTTTGCTGCTGCATGCAACTTTTGCAGCATTTGCTGCAGTTGCTGCATTTGCTGCAGTTGCTGCATCTGCTGCAGTTGCTGCAGTTGCTGCAGTTGCTGCATCTGCTGCAGTTGCTGCAGCACGAAACGCTGCAAGTGGGTAAATCGGAAGCAAATTGTTTTTAATTTTTTGCATTTTGAATTTCTTTTCTGAATTAAAAATAAACTTTTTCCTTGCATGCACATTTATTCGGGTGTATAGACACAAGGGCTCTTTTGCATGCATTTATGCTTTTGCTTCCAAAGGCCACACTCAACTGCATCTGCAGCCTTCAAGGGTTTAGGGTTTAGGGTTTAGGGTTTAGGGTTTAGGGTTTAGGGTTTAGGGTTTGCGGTTTATGGTTTAGGGTTTGCGGTTTAGGGTTTAGGGTTTGGGAGTCCGAGTGTGGGGCCTCCTGCTTACGGTCCACGCTTCAGCTTTAAGGGCTTAGACTAGGGTTTAGGGTTTAGGGTTTACGGTTTAGGGTTTAGGGTTTAGGGTTTGTCTCACGGGCGATCCAGTCATCTATGAGCTGCGCGAGCGCGGGGCGCGCTGCTGCTGCTGCTCGTTGGCTGCAGCTGCGGCCGCTGCTGTCGGGCTGCAGCAGCAGCAGCTTTGTTGCTGCTGCTGCTCTTTGTCCCCAGCTTCCCAAAAGAGCTTCCCAAAACTGCTGCTGCTCTGCTTCTTCTTCTGCTGCTGCTGCTGCTGCCAAGTGCGCGCAGCTGAGGCCCCGCGCGTCCAGGCACTCCCAAGGCGCCACTCCCCCCTGCAGCAGCTCAGCAGCCTGCAGCAGCAGCAGCAGCAGCA